GGTTTTTCACTACTTATAGTTGTTCAACGCGCTTCAGCTAGCTTTCGTCTCGTCTTCAGCGTTCAGCGTTCGCGTTCCGACCAATGAAACCACGAGTGTTTTACCACGTAACATCCAGTCGCTGTGTTGGTCGTTGTGGTCGAATTGGATCAAACCAGGTGTGGAGTAAAACCACTCCAACAGTCGACCCGTTCGTACCTCCAAAAGGTTGTTTTTGAGTCACTGTCATGTCACTGTCATATATAATTATACAGTTTTTAATGGGGGTCCTGTCCCGCTTGTCAAGGTACTTTGGCACCAGGTAGATGGCACCCAGCTAGATGTCACTGATGGACCACAGCTTCGATCAGCATCGATCGACTACCAACAAAATTGGTGAAACAAGCAAAATTGATTTTTGCTGTGTCATTTGGCTATGAGTCTAAAAGCCTCCCTCACCAAACCATGGTAGGTTGACACCCCAATAACAGAGGAATCTGTTCATTTGACCCGGGGCTCTGGTCCCAACCACGTGGTTGGGTGCGACGTTTTCAACTGAGGATTGGACCAGACCATCAGACCATCTTTTTCCGGGTGTGGACTACACTGACCATCGACCATCCACGTTAAACGAGCCGGTCACCGGTCCTCGGTACCTCTCGATACCTCTCGACCTCGGTCGAGCCGGTCCTCGTCTGTCAGGGCGAGGCGGGCTTTGACTTCCGGGCGTTGAAGCCGGACATGGTCGAGGACCGGCTGGGCGGAGGGTTGGCCGAAATCAAAAGAAGGTGCACTGGCTGCACTGGAGGGTTGAGGTGTTATGGTACTAGTAGGATATGGTCAGCATTTTGGTGGTCAAAAGGAAGTCTTTTTCATGGCCCAAAGGTCCTGAGCTGATGTGAAATTGTGAGAGACAGAAGATCTTTGACATGAACTACCCGCTTATGAACTCCATACCCTGCTTGTGGTCCATCTCGGTCAACGTGGGATTCTATGATTCTATGCCCCTTGGAAGATGAGGAGTTTCTAACTGAAGGAGAGGTTTTTGACCTCAAAAATGGGTCTATAGAACCATCCATCAAAGCCAGGTGACTTCGCAGCTGCAGCTTTGCGCGCAGTACAATCATGTTAACCTAAAACCCACTGCTGCCTTTTGACTCTTCGACATGCATCAATTGGACCGGATGCGGACCGGATGCGGCCTGCCTCCGGATCCACTGCGGCCGTCGCCCAAACAGGGCCGCGGAACCTAAGGCTGCTGCCACCTCAACGGTTTCTGGGTATGTCATCATGAGTTGCTTCGGGGAAACGATGGGTGAATCTAGATCAGATCTTCAGGATCCCCAAGGTAAGCTTATTGGTGATGGGCTAGCTGTTTCATAGGACCATCCCAATGGATCCCTGTATTTGGGGAGTTGTCGTAGGACCATAAATTAAACCAGAGAGTTTTCCGCATGTCCCTCAAGTATTTACAGGTGCTGTTCACCAGGTGCTGACTCATGTGTTTCACGTTTCAACGTTCCATTGACTCTTTGGGCTTCAGGAGATTACTGCGGCCATTGCTGCGAATCAGGGCGCTGAGGGCGCAGCTGAAGGTATGGGTGAGAGTGCCGGTGAAGGCGCAGCTCCTGCGGAGTGAGGGACACACTGAGCCCAAACATACTGAGTCTTTAGTAGAAGATATATAGAGAATTCGAGAGGAAAGACAGGACAAAGACTTTTATGATCTGATTGTAAGACATGTGGGAGATCCTTTTCGGGCACCTGTCCTATCCTTTCGAAAAAAACAATGACGGATAGCAAGATTTGGTTTCAAGGTGTAACTCTTAGGGGTGAAGATTTCTTCAGTGACGACTGGTGAGTGTCATTTTTGTCAGGATGTCATTTTCCCCAAGGGGTCCTTTGTTTCTTTTTGTTTGGGAAGCTATCAACGATCTCACCGAGATCGCACCCGTGGTTTGGACCGAACAAAAGTTGCTTCATAGACTCTTGAGGACCACACACACACCCTCCATTTGAAGTGAACATCCTCTTCAAAGCGGGGGGGTTATGGTCCTCAAGAGTCCATTCGTTCAGACAAAAAAACACATCGATGGACTCTCGCTGTTGAGTCGTTAACGGCGAACCGTGCGAAGACTCGGAGGACCATGAAATCGGAAGACCAAGGTCCCTGGTGGTTTTCACGAAGACACCAGTGATTCCAGGGAGTCGCCGGGAAATGACAGCCCCGCTCCAAAACCCACCCCCAGAAGACGAAGATGCATGGCACCATGACGTAGTCAGAGCCCAAACTAGCACATTCAGATCGAATCGACCCGTGAAGCGTCTGAGCCTCACACCGCAGCGTGAGCCGTGCTACGAGTGAAGACGGCGAGTGACTCGAGTGATACGGGGAGTGCAAAATACCCCACCGAACGCGTTCGTTCGATGTGATGAATGGCAGAACGATGGGATGAGTGACGGGACACAAAGACCTCGCCCAAGATGCACGGGCAGAAGCACCTCAGGAGAACCCCGACCCAATGGGTTTGGGTTGATGTCTTTCTTCCAGGCAGTAGAACCATGTAGAACCTACGGGGGTCTCCATGTTTGAGCTACACACCTAGGATCTTTTGCCCAGTGATGGAGATATCGATGGTTCATGATAGATGGTACTGGTAGCATGTACATAGCAGCATGCGTGATGCTTGGAATCCCTTCTAACCAAACCTCGTTCTTTCAACACACACTCAGTCACCCGGAACCCTAAAAACCCGCGTGCTGTGTAGCACTGCGACGTCTAGAGATGATGCGTTCACCTCCAAGTCCTGTTTAACTGGTGAATGATGCCTCCCGATGCTATGAGAATGACAGACCGAACAAGGGAGAGTCAAGGGCGAGCACTTATATCATGGCCAGGGTATGATAGGACTAAACATTGCTGAATTTGGAATGAATTTTCTGTCAATTTCGAGACGTTTAGTTTAGTGTGCATGATTTGAGCGTACATAGAGAACAAGGACGTCAGTTTAGGCCTAGGGTATATCCACAGGAGCCAGCTCTTGGGGGTTGTGCCATCCAATACTCAACCACGTGTCATCAATTCCTTTTCTGAGCTATTCATCAGTCTTGACCACATTATATAATTAGGTTGAAATGAGATTGACCTGGCACTCTAGTCCTATCTCTTCTGAGCCTAGTATAAAAACCAGTCTGTTACAGCAGGGAATAGGATGCACACTGACTTGACTTGGATCCTTAAGAACTCGTCCGTCCCTGGCTTCCAATTTCTGCTCAGTTCTTAAAGACGTTTACAGTTTCAGCCCATCGACGCCACTCCAAAACCAGCTTTTCCGCGCTGACAACGTCAGCTGCCAAGGCTTATTCTCTGTGTGAAGAGTATATTATTGTTTGGAGAAGCAGAACCATAGGTCGAATATGTACCAAATACACTAATACCTGTCACAGTTTGGTTGTTTTTTCCTTACCCGGACCATTTTTCATTTTTTTGGTGGGGAGGGTTGTACTGATGTGGCCTAAGCTCTTGTCAGGAGACCACTTTTTCCAAGAAGAAGATTACAAAGTACAGCATGTGGTTCACATTGAACTTGATATCTTAAAAGCTTGTATATATGGAACTCCACTTTGTGGCACATGCGTGCACATCCACTCGAAAGCGGCCAGATGGCCTTCCCTGTGGCCTTCCGAAAGTCACATGGAGAAGCAGCGGAGGTTTCTACAGCAACTCTCAGCTGTGGAGGATCTTTACTTTTCGATTCTAGACTTCTCAAGAAGCCTTGCCGTCAAAGCACCGCACTGACCTATAATGATATTATTATGGTATCTATATACTGCATCGGTTTTAAGAGCTCCACCAACATGGTCTTCTGCACTTTCGCAATTGTTCTACACATGATGCGTTTGTTGATGTTGAACTTCCTGGTGATGCACATCGTCTACGTCTACGTCCGTCAAAACTGCGCTTCGACTCGTCCGTCGGTCGTCTGGACCGTAAGGTCTGGTGGATGAGTTGGACACGAAGAAAGGACAAACCAACAAGGACTTCAAGAGAATCTAGTAGCTTACATTGCTCCGTTCGTAGTAAGGCCAGGAGCCCCGTTCGTAGCATCCTTGATCCTAGTAGCGATGCCCTTTGCTCCTAGTAGCTTCTTGCTCCTAGTAGTAAGACTTCAAGAGAATCTGGCATCAAATTTTCTGACCTCAGCTTGCTTGCTGGCGATCAAACATGCGGAAACAAAAAGAATCACATCCTGTTTGTGTGACTTGAAGGGACCGGGATGGGGGATTCTGAGAGTGGCACCAGGTGTCACCGGAGGAGTGGGTGTTTCCCTTGAGCGAAACAGACTTCTCTATGTTTCATGAGTGTAGACTCCAGGGGGGTTGGCCCCCTTGTCCCCCTTCGCCCAACAGAGATGCCGGGCCAACGTATACCACTGTTAAAAGAGAGGAAGCGAGACCTCCGCTTGACGAGTCCTCAAAACAAGATGTCAGACACTTGGTGGAAGCCTCCCCAAAAGATCCTCATAGATCCTCTATAGCCCTAAAAAAAAAACTTTCTTCCAGCTTTGAATGAACAGCATGTTTTGGAACTGCAGAGTTCCCCAACCCTCGAACTGCCCCAGTTCCTCGACGACAACGATCCGACCGTTTTTTCGCTGAGAGAGTGGTGCTCGGAGAGTGACCCGGCACGACCCAATTGGGCACGACCGATCACGAGACCGGTCGGTGGGACGGACCAAGGCTCCAAGGTGGGCTTTTCACGAACCATCGTGTGTTTGTTTTGAACGACCCACAGCATGTGAGACGTGTCACATAGACCCTGTCAGACGCTCTCCAAGATGATGTAGATGTTAAGAGACGAATCTCGTCCAAACCCAAGGACACTTGGAAACCATGAGTTTTTTCGATGTTGTTCCGGATCCCCCACACATCCTCTTGGGCTTTCTTTTTGGGGGGGTTGGTCCTGTTTCGCGGAAGAAGGTCGTTGCGCGAAAACATTCTGGTCCACGTGCGGCCCTCAGGTTCGACAGACTCATTCGAGAAAAGTTGGAAGGCCCACCGTTGGTCGTTTCGGGCGACTCAGGCGACTCATTTCGATCGTTGGGTCGTTTCGGTCGTGGTTCTTTCACTGGCCGTCTCGGCCGTCTCGGCCGGTGTACACCCTGGCTTTTCGCGAAGGTTGTTCCACTGAAGGTCCAAAAAGTCCGAACCAAGGTTTTGGAAGGTTTGGATCTAATCACTGAACAATTCACTATATAACCCCCTGAACCAGAAGGGTTGCAAACAGAAAAGGTGTTCAATGCTGTTTGAATACCCTATCGATTGAACACCCATTCTGTTTCAGGGGGCAAGTGTTTATTCTATATAGTGGTGTTTTTTGGTTTGTTGTTTTTCCATCAATTCTGATGTCTTTTCTCTTGTGTATCAAGACTCACGACCCTGGTCAAAGGCGGTGCTAACACTTTTCTTCCCTAAGAAAGTGGTGTTTTGTTCAAGAGCTTTCCTGGGTCCTCTTGGAGGATTCGTGGGACGGATCCTTGGAGCGTTTGATGAGGTGATCATGGCAGCGAGTTCGTCCGTTTTTTTGTTTTCTTCATCCAAAGAAACAGGACAACAGGACTGGAAGAGGCTATTTACTTTGACCCCATGAAAAATGATCCATCCAATGGTGGTATATGGTGGTATAACTATTTCAGTCCGGATAGGAATCTTTGGTGTAGGTACAGTCTATAGGTCTGTGTAGGTCTTCAGTCACTTGGTGGTTGCATCGGTCATGCTCAGACTGCTTAGGCTCACGGCGATCTCACCCTGGTAGGTTGACCGACTAGTCAGGGCGTCTATGGTCCGTGGTCCGTGCTAGGAAACCTGTAACAGACGGTGAACAAGAACATCACTATTTGGGAGAAAGGCCTTTGCTAAACGTCATCAACCACTATTACTGGTAATGATTGGTAATGGGATAGACCCAATCTGTATTCATTTTCAGTGGTCAAGCAGGGTCCCCGGTTCTTGGCTCACTTCCACGTGTTAGTCTAGCAGCTTTTGTTTTCGCAACACTGGCATCTTCAGCGGTAGTGCGATGTGTGTGCTTTTTGGGTTTACCTTGGTACATAGATAATGAGTGAACTTTGAAATTACAGCAAGTTCAGAGTAAATGGCGCAAGCCCCAAGGGCAGCGGCTTTACATGGACCATTTGTCTAAGACATGTAGGGGTGCTAGTGCCATTGCTCACCTCTGAAACCATTTGTCTAATGGATTCAACGATCCAAACCTCACCGGCGACGCCACCCGAAACCCGGTCGACTGGAACCGACACCGAAACCCGCCAGGCCAGCACACCGACCGGACGCATTTTAAGAACCGCGTGCAGAACCGGGCCGGGACACCTGATCCGGAAGCTGGAAGACTCGGGAGAAGAAAGAAAAGGGACAGGGACCGGGATCTTTGATAGTCAATGATTTCTTTTAAGAGTTTGGAAACAAACGATCTCTTTATCATGCTCGTTTGTTGTTGTTCTGATGGCTTTTTGGGGCCTTCCAGAGAGAGGTTGAAACGTGATGAGAGCTACAGCTACACTGGTTGCTTGCTCTGCAAGTATGAGCGAATTGCGCATCATGTGTTGCAAGTTTGTGTTTGGCGCTCGGGTAAGCACTGAAAGAAGGGCTTTGAAAGGTGAAATGAGATGAAGTACCAGAGCTAGTGTAGAGGGATAGAGCACCTGCGACTATGAGCCATGAAGTTGAGGGACTTAGCGGGACTGGCGGCGTTCTTCAACTTTTGCACCACCGACCGGTTCTTCAAAAAAGGTTCCTGCTGGCCGGCTTGCCTTGTTTTCTCACAAAAACAGTGCTTGAACTGTAGCCTATAGGCCTATACACCACTGAGTGTGGGTGAAGGCAACGGCCCAGTGAATGTTGGGTATATCTTCCATCTCGGAAACTTCACTGGGCCAAGACCCAGCAACCTCTGAACATTTGTGAAGCATATCCATCTGAACCTGGTGGACCTGTCGGTCTTTGGACCATCCTGTGTTCTCTGTCTGGCTGTGGGTCACTTTGACCCGGATCCCCGAACTCACCAGGGTAGGTTCTCCTGAATACTGTGGTCCATTCTGTTCATTTTTGGTGGCCACCCTAGTAGCTTCTTGCTACGTCAACCCAGGTAGCCCAGTTCCATGGCCCACCATTTGGGCTTTGAGGACTGAGAGTTGGTCACCGGTCACCTCAGCGGTGACTTGGTGACCCGGTTTTGATCGCTGCATTCTGCGGCAGACCAGGTCCAGCACACCCCTTCTAACAGACTCCACTGGGTTCTAACGGACTCCACTTCAGTTTGCTCCACTTTGGGGGCTCAGGCACAAGGCCACCTCTCATGGCAATGGTGACCTGGCGGAAGAGGGAGGGAGGGGCACTAAGGCTTAGGGCCACGAAGACTTTTTCATGGGCCTGATTCTTGGCAGGTCTCACTTTGACCCGAATCGTGAGTTTTGTATCGTTTTGTTCTATTTATATATATATATATATTATATATGATTTATTACCCCTTCCGGCTTGACTCAGTGCATAGAGGACAATGGTGAAGTGGATACCCTCAATCTTGAACGGGTAGCCAGCTCAAGAGGCAGGCCCGTGTGCAGCAAAAAAGTTGCGCTACCCCTTTCGTTGGTTTTTGCCAGCCACTCCAAGTGTGGAATATACATGGATCTTCCAACTGTGCAACATGTCTGTCTTTTCATCTATAAAGCCAGCCAAGTTCGGCAAACATTTTGCATAGTTGGAAGATCCAGGCATGTATACATTGACCTCTGAAACTCCAATGTAAGCAACTGTGCCAGTCCCTTGGAGGGTTTGGATTTGCGGGTCTTACCAGTACCATTCGGGTGGCTCATACCCCTATATATATATACAGTATATATAAACACCGTATATACACCTCACTTAGCATCCCACACTCATTCTTGACTCGCATTCCTGAGTCGCACCAGTCAGTTGTCTCTTCTTCCTTGTCTCCCCCTCTCTTAACTTCCTCTTGCCTGCACAATGCCCCCAGCCGAACCCGCTGACGTTTTTTTAAAGACAACACCCACTGTGCATAACAACCCTCATCGGCTCAGCTACCCTCCTTCGGAACTCATTCTCTAATTACGTTTCGCTCCAGTCTGACCAGGGATCTGACTTCGTCAAATTAAATAATCGACGTTGAATGTCCGGCACATAGCACCCGAAGCACGCCACCGATGGGATTGGCAGATTTACAAGAAAGGTTGAAAAAGGAGTCGATGCAGGGTAAATATGCAAGTTTTATGGAGGGTTTGGGGTAGGTGCACATCCGAAACTGTCCCACGAATCTGGAAGGTGGTTTCCAGGCTTCCAGGCCACCAGAAGTCCATCCAACCAGTTGATCCAACAGAGAACTGCCAAGCAGCTGGATCCGGGAAAGAAAATACAGAAAACAACAACAACAACAACAACAACAACAACAACAACAAGTAAACCATCATTCTACATCCATCTACCCCTGTTCGAGCTTTTTCCCAGTCCAGTCGATGTTGAAGTTCCATGGATTTTAAAGAAGGTTTGCAAAGCTCATCACTGAAGACCTCCCCTCAAATGACCTAATGACATAGTTCTATATACTGACATGGCTGTGGATCATGGCACCAGGAGACCTTGGGGGAGTCTGAAAAAAAACTGTGGAGAAGACATGAACAAACTAATATATACAACATGACCCATCCCCAGATGTGTGTTTTCATTTTATGGATAATGGCAGCTCCTTTGACCCAATCTGAGAACTCCCCATACGCAGCGGAGAAGATGGATGTGTATGCTTTAGAGGTCTGCTGCGGCGTATTGCATTCGCCTCTTCGAACAAGCCGGTCTCGTTCACTCCGCGATGCCCAACATCTTCCGTTCGTGTACCGTCCTCTTGTTACGTCGCCAGCGTCCCGGAGCGCCCCGTTCGCCCCGTGCGGGCCCGTGAAGCGCCCGAGCGCGGAACGGTTCGGGACAGAAGCGGAACCGTCGAAGCGGAAGCTCCCAGGCAGGCCCTCGATGCGCTGTTGGATGGCAGTCTAGCCATGTGGGAGGTTAGAAACCTCCCCCTGCCCACCGGGGAGCGAACGGTCGGGGAAGATGTCCAGGGAGCGACGGTCGGGAGGTACGATGGAAGGAACTGCTGGAGCTTGTGGATTGTTTTTTTTACACCAAACTTCTTTCAAACTACTCCTCTTCAAACTCTGGTTTGCTAATCACTCAACATGAATCATTCTACCAACTGGAGTCGGCAGCTTTGGTCTGAATTGTCCAGAAGAACAGATCTGCCAGGAGTTCCATCAATTTGGTGCTTCTTGGACGGGCCCAGGGTGCCCAGCACATCCAATCACCAGCACATGGGACTTTGCTAACCATTCCTTTGGAACTGCTGTCGTGACCCACCCGGAGCCCGAGAAAGGGGCGCACCATGTCATGACCAGCAATTGGTGGAGACGAACCGTGCCAAGAGCATCCGACTGTTGTAGGCTTTTGTAAACTTTGGTCCGAAACACTAAGGAAACACTAGGAATATCACCACTTTCTCCTTCTTTCTCCTGCATCTACCTGTCCGACCCCCACGGCTCCGGGCGACCACGGCGACCCGCACGGCTCTGTCGCTTGCCGCAACGAGTCCAGAGACTCTCAGCACATTGGGGCGAAGAGCGCTTGCTACGAGGGCATCGCTAGTAACAAGGGCATTACCTACTAGTAACAAGTGCCTTACTAGCAGTAAGAAGCTACTAGTATACCACGGCATTACCTACTAGGAGCTAGAAGTGACTAACAAGCAAGGGCATCGCTACTCGCTGATATATTTCTGCAGAAGGCCGTCAGAGGGCAGAAAGCTCCGAACGCAACTTCCGTACCTTCCGAGTCCTTTCCGTCATGGATCCGCCATGGACATGACAAAGCCCTTTCCATGAGTGAAGCTGGAGGAAGTGTAGGCAGGAGCAAGAAGGGAGTGGGAGGGTGTAGAACTCCAATTCTATCCCCAATAGATGATCCTAGGGTTTACCCCATTTGTTTGAACAAGTGGCAAAACAGGTTGAAACAACTTTTGGCTTAAACAAACCGCCTTGTTAACTATCATCGCTACAAGGGCTTGCCACAGAACGGCAGTCGCAGATTGATTACTCCGTCATGGGCTCCTCAAAGCGATCAAATTTTGACCTTCCCAATATGAATGAGGGTTTCCACAAGTAGGGGGACCCCCAAATCATCCATGTTAGTGGGTTGTTTAATAATTAGTTTAATCATAAACCCTTCGTTTTGGGGTACCCCCATTTATGGAAACCTCCTGAACGAACAATGCTTCAGTCTTCAGCTATTTTTGGGCAGTTCCAGGCCCCTCAAATCACACTCCTTTGTCTTGGGACCATTGGAACACCCGCCTTGTCCAACTCCGGGATCCGAGACGTTTTGGTTGTGCCCGGTGATTTTAACAAAGGCCCTTTGATTCCACCTCCATTCCTTTGAAACGGGACGTCAAGGACGTTCTTCGTCTCAAATCTGGTGATGTGCCCGGTTTTTACACGGGTTGGGGCGGAGCTTGGGGAGACGGCCGACGGCGCGTTGCGCCGGCGAGGGTGACCGGTTTGGGAGGGCGATGCGACGTCGGAAGCTTTTGGCTCTGCATCTGGGCAGAGATCCCTGCAACACGGACAGATGTAGAAGACCACATGGACCACGACTGTAAGCGCCACGACGACCGATGCACCACAATCAGGCATGCCTCTTGGACTTGAAGAACCAAGCAAGGTCTGGAAGTGTTCAAGGGCTCAAGTTGCGTCAAGGCTCAACAGACCTTGCGATCCCTCCCACTATGAAAAAAAAGAACCACGTGTTTTGCACCAAAAAGCTCAGAAACGCAGAAAGACACCACAGCTTGGGTGTGCAGTTGGTGCAAGCAATCATAAGCATGTTTTTTGTTGCTAGCTGTAGTTCTTTTCGATTTCTTGGTGGTGCCTGAAAGCCTAGCTCCCACTCTCCTTTTTCTCGAACCCGTTGCTCTCTTGTGTCCTTTCTGCTTCGGACGCGAGTGCCATGCTGCGTGCTGGGCGCGCGGTGGTAGCAGCTTGGGTTTGTGCTCATGAGCCTCTTGAACAACTTGGGTCGGAGGTTTGCTGCTTGAGTTGTGGCAGGGGGCTCGGCAAAGGGTCGTGTTCATCTACCAAAACCTGTTTCCACAAACCCTGATGCAAAACTAAGTGTATAGTTCAGGGAACGGGGGAGCCCTCACGTGAGGTTTGTTGCATTCAGAACCTCAACTGAGCTAACAGCTGTGTTTCTTTGCAAAGCCCTGCTTGAAGACCCTAGGATTGAGGATATCCTGCCATTGAATACCCACATTTCATCATGTAGTGGTGAACTCTTTGTTCTGGATTCATCCCCACTGCCGGACCGGATGAAAACACAGCAAATCCATGCAAATCCTCTAAATGGGCAACGATGGCTTGCTTAGCTCACGGCGCGGTGTGTTCAACGTTGCCAGTGCGGCGTTTCGCAGGCGTTTCGGTGGGGTTACTGTAAGGGGAGCACTTTTGGAGCGGATTGTGCTTGGTGCGTTGCTTGGTGCGTGGCACTGCGACATGAGGCTTGGCATTCTCCCACATCGCAAGCGGCATGCTTCTAACAATGTGAGGCTTTAAATACTACACATCTCCCACAGACAGACACAGACACGCAAACACACTCTGACATTGGTTTTCAGCTAGCTCAATTCCCAGGTGAAAAAAGGTGAGAGAACGGCAAGGTGGAGAGTCCGCAAATTTGTAAGTGTTTGAACAAAAGGTGGTTCTCATGTCTGCAGAACGAGCGGCGCGGCGCAGCTGCTGAAACCAATGTTTTGGGGTTGGTAGCATGAAGAACCAGGAAGCAAAACGTGGAAGAGTAGGGTGACAGCGTGTGGAAAACTCCGCAGGTACATGAGAGTGATCAGCTCTCACTTCCCTCGACACATCATAGCTTCGTTGCGTCAGGCAGATGTGTCGAGCCTGACGCCCCCGCTGAAGAAACTTCAAAAAGCAAACGGTGAGGTGGAACCCTTAGCTACAGGGGTTGACACACACACACACACACGGACGCGCGCGCTGGATCTTCCCTGGATCTTGGTCAAATCCACAGGCCGCCATTTTGGGGCACTGAGGCCGCCTTCCTCGCCTTCCGTGTCCATCGGAAATGCCACATGGAGAGGAAAACGATTGAATGTGACTCTTGATGAACAATCCCAGACATGGGTTGGAAAACCTCTTCCTCTGGGCGTGTGTTTACCATCAAGACATTACTTGATGAAGGTACTTCAGTTTGCTGAGGAATCATCTACTTCACCCATCATCCGCACTGGAAATCATGAGTGAAAAATGGTGAACAACAAGTGGCGTTTTCAATCTGAACGCAGAAGAGCTGCCACTTGAGTTTTGGGGACTTTTCGTTGAGAAGAAGCGCTGGGTGGCGCGTGGCGTTTTTTTCAAAATTCCCACCCGATCAGATGGTCTGGTGCCAAAAAGACTGTAGATGGGAAGTCAAAGCATTTTCTGGGATTAAATCACCCTTGGGTGGGGTATTTTTGTTGCTCAGATATCATAGAAGTTAACTACTAGTAAGGCACTTGTTACTAGAAACGATGCACTTGTTCCTAGTAGCGAAAAGGAAGTCCTGAAACGTGGGAATTCTCTTTGGAGGTGTGAAGCAGACACATCGGACGTGTCGATTGAGTTCTTCGATCGATGCTTGCTGCTGGTCTCTTCTCCGCACCCCAACGGACGGAGTAACTACGTCTAAAAGTGTTTGGTCAAGAGGCAGGACAGGTTGCAATAATTGGGTTATACCTATATAGCCTATATATGTTATACCTATAGATCTTCCAACTCTATGGACAATGTATGCCAAACTTGGCTAGTTTAATAGATGAAAAAAAATTGCACAGTTGGAAGATCCAGGCATATTGTTGTTTGAACACAATATGTCACATGCTCAATGTCAGCTATAGCGGTCCTGATTTCTACCACCTTTTGGTCATCTAACCCAGATCCTAGACTCCGTACCTCAACAGATCATCGCAAGAAGCAGACGTAAGTGGGTATCCTTCCCAGAGTCTTCGTGCCTGTTGTCACTTGCTGTAATCCTATTAGATCATTTTTACTTGCCCAATTTCTTTCGCAAACCAGTCCTGGAAAGTGTCACGCCAACCGCCGCCACGTTTGTGTGACCTGACCGCGTTTGCCAACCGCGCGTGCGAGGTGAGGGCACCGCGGTCCATGGGTGTTCAGCAGGAGCTGCAGAAGGTCGGGTGGAGAGAGAGACTTCCGGAACGAAAGAAAACCCTCCCCATACCCAGACCATCCATGCATGGAATAGTTACATCATACAAATTCACCCCAAGTAACTATGGAATTGTCACCCCATGGATAACCCTACATGGATAGGTGACTCTTCCATGGATAGGTTCCGTAGCCTGGATGGTTCCCTGGATGGTTCTCTCGATGGTTCGCCCCTGGAGGGTCCAACGTGGCCTACATAGCCAGGTCACCGGTCCAGATCGGCCGGGGTCTTGAGATAGGGCCCGAGATAGGGCCCTGTCTTTTTGAAGGGTTCTTCAACCTTTTGTAGGTAGAATCGTGTTCCAAATCTTGGTGCGGGAACTTTGTGTTCTAGCGCCTTGGCGCTCTGCAGTCTGTTCTTTTGGCTATTCGTGTTTGTCCGCATGCCACTCGACATCACTCGACCATGCCGTCCAAAGCCTTCCTTTGTTGTCAAAAGTCTTCCTCCCCAAATCTAGCGTGTTTGGGCCATTTTGACCAGGTTTGTTGCACGACTACGCGAGATTTCAAGCTACTGACTAGTGCAAATAAGTTAAATTCAAACATGTCGCAACTGTTCGTGCGAAGGGCTATATAAATGAAATGATGTCACAGGATCCAAACAGTGTTGAGTAGAAGGAGTCACTCGATCTATAGAACTCTATAGATTGGGTCTGTCCTAGGAAACATGTAAACAGTAAACTAACATCACTTTTTTAGAGATGGAAAGGCCTGCGACCAGGCCTCATCATCCACTGTTACAATAGGATACAGTATACCCAATCAAGTACCCAATGTATAGGAATCTAAGACCTCCAATCTGCAACCGCACCTGTTCGGTTCCAACATCGAGCTCCAGTCCGCTTACTGGCAGGCACAGACTTATTCTCATCCGGTCCAGTGGCTTCCACTCATAGCTGGCTTGGTTCTGGGAGGCGTTTCATGGCCTGGGGATGGCTCGGGGACGTCTCACTGCGAAACAGGTCTGACCTGAGTCAGGTACATACAGGCGATAAAGGGCTGTTCAACCCCTCTAGGCTGTTTCGCCCCAAGAGAGTTCTTTTTTTTCGTTGTTTTTCGATTGATATTGATCATGATCCCTGAAACTGACACATGCTTGGTCGTTCGACGCTCTTGGAACATTGAGCGATCATCGATTCAGCACTCCTCCGCACCGAACGCACGTTCTCCGACTAAACCACCCAGCCGAAAAAAACTCGTCGCACGACCCAGGTCGGAGCATCCATGGTATGGAATAGTTATATAAATATACATACATGACCCCAATGTATAGGTATCTATTCTAAGACATGGATGGTCTGTGGCGAAACGTCAGGCCTTTGCTCCGTGGCGCCAATCCGCGCGGCCGATCTGGTGAACGGCGAGGCGCTCTTTGACGCGAACTGCGTCTCGTGCCACGCGGGCGGCGGCAACAAGCCCCTCGGAGGGAGCAGCCGGTGACGGGGACGGCCGGGTGTTCGGAGACCAAAAGACGAAGACACAGGCCACCTCACCTGGAGGGTGAAAGGGGCTTTCTTATGACTATAAGGGACTTGTGATGATTTCAACATTTAGATACATGTATAGTGTATAGTACGTTTAGAAGGGAGAGTCTTTCGTTAGTCTTTGGTCTTAGGAATCCGTAGAAAGAGATCCCAGAGATTCCCCCAACGGGGTGGGTCCGAAAGCGGCCCCCCGCCGATGGAACGGTGAAAGGAGTTCCAGCGCTACTCTGCGAACTGAAAAGCCTGTTTGTAGATGAAGAGGAAAAAGGCACGTAGCTTCTTGCTATACTAGTAGCTCAGCTAATTTGCTACTAGTAGTAATGCTCTTTGCTACTAGCAGCGATGCCCTTGTTACTAGTAGCTTCTTGCTACTATAGTAGTAAGGCCAGGAGCTACTAGTAGCGTCCTTGCTCCTAGTAGCGATGCACCTTGCTACTAGTAGCTATTTGCTACTATTATAGGGTAATCTTCGCCAGTAAGATCAGTAAAGGGACAAGCAAAGAACCGGGGCAGGTGCGTTTCTATTGCTCCTACAAGACTGGTTCATGTCGGACTCGGGTGTCCAGTAAGTTGCGAGGAGAATCTGTCGGAGCTCCGTACTTCATCGGAGCTGAGGATCTATCCCCAGCAGAGCTTGAGCAAAAGCGCTCTTGAACGGACGCTTGAAGGGGTCAGATCTTTGCATTCGACCAGAAGATACCAGAAGGGTTACTTTTTGTTTGTCATCACAAGCCGTCTTCATACATAGCGACTATATAGAAGTTGCCCAAAAGTCTTGCGCATGGACACTGAATCCAGTTTGACTTGTCATTTGGAATGAGGTATGTATAAAAGCAGCCATCCTGTCAGCATGGAAAAGGCTCCAAAAGACGTGAGCCAGAGGCCAGAGGCAGCCAGATGTGTCCCCATGTCACTTCTTGAACAGTACCACTCACTTGGAGCCACACATAACCTACACGGCGCCAGCCACAACCTCGCCTCCGAAGCTCCTCCGTCCTCGTGGCACACCGTGGCTGGCCTGAGGAACGGGAAGTTCTCCCTGAGCGCGATCGAACGTCAGGTCTGGCAAGGGCAAGCGCCCATGCCCAGCTTCTCGAAGCTGGGAGCTTCTCGGTCGAGTTCAGAATCCGGAGCCGGATTCCCCGACCCTTGCTTCGAGGGACGTGTGTGGTCTGGTATAACATGCCTTTTCAAGTTTTCTGTGTCTTTTTTGGGGGGCGGAGGCGAGAGAGATCGAACTCGAAGCAAGATTGATTGTGAAGAGGGGTGGCTGCTTGCATCGTCAGATGCTCAACCAGAATGCTGTGAGGGTACAAGCAAACTGTGGTATATCAAATGCATATCTCAATACTTTTTGGTGTGCCGAGCCATGATGTTTTTTGATTTCGGTCTTTTTTGGGCTGATTGGAAGCTCATACAAGTTTTAGTTGTTCTTTTTGTATTTCTGGTGTCCCTGACGTTTTAGCAACTGCATGCTGTCAGTTGGCATAGGTATCAAAAAAAATAAAAAGAGCATCAAAAAAAAATAAAAACAGGATCAAAAAAAAATATAAAGCGAATCAAAAAACAAATATTCCTTGATAGGCCTCTTCTGCTGCTCTCCTGGCCTTTTGGTCTGCGGGTCCTCTGGTAATGTGGTCCCTTGGTCCTTTGGTCCCTTGGTCCTCTGGTCCACTGGTCCTTTGGTCCCCTGGTCCCTTGGTCCTTTAGTCCACTGGTCCCCTAGTCCTCCGGTCTCCTGGTCCTCTGGTCCTGTGGTCCGCTGGTCCCCTGGTATCCTAGTCCTTCTGTCTCCTGGTCCGCTGGTCTTTTGCTCTCCTACGGCGCTCGTCTGTCGATCTCCTGGTCCCCTGCTTGCGCAAATAGAGGCTTGATTGCTTTCTACTAGAGGCAGCTCCCTGGGAAGAAAGTAGGTATCCAACGATAAGGTAGCCGTCCAGTCATTGAGTAGCCCTACTCGAAAAATGGTTCACCAGCTTGGTGAAAAAGACCCTGTACGGCTGCGACCGCAATGCACCCATTAGAAATAGACTGGTCCACCACATCTTTTTCCTGAGGCGATTCCCATCCAGGCACCTTCCGATGCTGCTACACCCATTCCAAACACTTCTCTGCTCTGAGCGCTCTGACAACGCCATGTAGGGCCTAACTTCGTGTGAACGCCGTGACTACTGCTACTGCTACCACTACTACTACTACTACT